CGACTATCGTCAAATACCATTTTTTTTAAATCTTATTTTGTTAATAACAATTGCAATTTTTTACCTGCACCAAAATCCTTCAAAATAATTTTTCTAGAGGTGATTCCGAATCGAATGAGCTATCGCTCATATTTTTAGGACCTTATCTCTATTTTTCATGTTTTCGAACTCGTTGATTAGACTATTTACGACAAACGAGGCATCTGATTTTCTCTCTTCTCAAATTCAATTGCTCAGATCTTTCACGCAACCTGCTTTGAGAATTGGCTATTTTAACTATATTCTCATTTCGGAACCATTATTTGAAAATCGGACTTGAATATTAAAATAACAAAAAAAAATCAAATTTTAATTTTTAGGTTGAAATTTGGTATGTAATGTCAAAATCGATTTCTTCGCAACTTTTTCAAATAACTTATTTCGGTATTTCAAACGCGAAGGAAAATATCGAGAATTTGCTCTTTTCGCAGGATCGCAGCAAGCTGGGTTTGTTTAAAGCTGTCACTCGGGCTATGTATTGCGAAAATTGCGGCCCATGAGGGTCTACGCTCGTACCAAAAATCAAATCGCTGATTAAAATATGTTTTTCCATTAACCAGCTGTCGCACCCCTACGAACGACAACTCTCAGAAGTCGAAAGTAGCAAGTGAAAATCGATCGTTCAGCCTGCGGCTTGAACCACCGACCAACACGGCGGTCGATTTGAGTGAGAGAACAAAGCATCCACGTCGAACTGATCGGCTACCGACCGATTAACGACTGAAGGTAGTATATGAAAGGTAGGGATTAACACCTTTCATCACGAGTTCTCTCTGAGGTCTCAATCTACCTACTCTTTAGATCTAAGGAGCATGTTTCTTTGGACATTTTTTTCGCCGCAGTCCGAATTTCTTTATGTTTCATCAACAAATGTTGACAAGCTTTACTCGTCCCTCAAAGCAAAACACCATGGCTCAAAAGGCAATGGTCGATTCCAATGGTCGATTCCACTGTTTCTACGAGTATTACCTCCAGGAATACCACCTCCCTGAGATTTCAAAGAACAATCTGACTCTGCGATAAAAGCCGGAAATATATTTTCAAAAATATTCTTCAATTATGAGTGAGAACGATATTCTGAGAATTTTAGGCTTATTTTAGGTTTCTATGACCCCCTTACCTCTGACTTTTGATGTATCATTTTTTTTAATTGAGGGTTCTACTAGCTATACCGTTAGGTCGGCGTCGGATGGGAAAATGAGCCATAAATTTTCAATATACTTCTGCTGCTTAATTATAAAATTCCAAGCTAACAGTTTGGATTTAGACAAGGAAGATCTACTATACATCCTCTCACGATTCTCACAAACAACATTGAAACAACCAAGCTGAACAAAAACAAAACGGCAGCGATCTTTCTGGATATGAAAAAAAAACATTTGATAGCATCTGGTACAAGGGTCTTTTATCCAAACTGCATCAAATGGGTTATCCTAACTATCTAGTACATACAATTAAGAATCTGTTAATTGATAGGAAACTGAGAATTAAAATACTGAGTAGCTTTTCAGACGAATTTATTCCAGAACAGGGAGTTTTACAGGGTTCACCGCTTTAACCATTGTTATATAACTTATACAGCTCTGATATTTATCATCACCAACAAGGAATATCAACCACTTCAGGCATGAAGCATATATTATCCAGTATGCAGATGACACCGCCCTAATTGCGCACGATCAAATGCTAGACAAAGTTATTAACAATTTGGAACATCTTGCATCAATAACAAATGACTGGTTCAATTAATGGAGGCTCCAGCCAAACCCATCTAAGTCTCAGTTCATCATATTTAATCATCAGAATTCCGCAACTTCTTCAAAAATCAACGTTTTTCAACATAACTTACATGCAAAATCGACAGGTAATTACCTAGGTATTATGCTTGATTCCATATCAAATTTCAAGAGCCACGTCAATAACAAAAAAAAGAAAGTCATTGCGGGAGCCGCAAATTTCAAAAGTTTGACAAACCCGGGAGCAGGTGCAAACATATCAACAGCAAGCCGAATATATAAACTAATCTGTCGTCCACTTATTGAATACTCGCACCCACTGTTTCTCAATATCAAACAAAGGGCCACGAAAACAATTAAAGTATCTGAAACAACGGCTATAAGGAAAATAACAATATTAAGGCATCCCAATAACCCCAAACACAACTCTCCAATCGCTCTACTGTACCAACTCACTGGTATTATCCCTATCGCGGAAAAACTACCGTCACTTACTCAGAAGTTTGCTAGAAAAGACGATAATGTAGAAATCATTAGATAGTATGCTGTGACAAGAAACCCCCATGCAAGAGTATGACATCGACACCAAACAGAAACACTGTTAGAAAAATCAACACAACTTATCAATGAAATTGTTTTGTTTGTTCATTTTTATATCCACTTATTTTTTTTTTTATATTGTAAAATAATCTATGTTATTTCAAAGTAATTTTGTTACACGGGCAGAAGGACTTCGGTCGATAGCCAGTTGAGGAAAATTGTAATTTTGTTCAATAAATTACAATTATTATTATTATTTTTGTCTCTCCCACATTTAGAAAATATTTTCAAACAATTATTTCCACACCGTGTTTGTCTGAGGTAATCTCTCAAATATGCAATGGAACCAAAAAGCAACAACAGCATGATGAAGGAGCCTGAAATTATTGCAAGTTCAGAATTCAAGAAAAAAAAAAGATTTCCATTGATCCTCTGATTCTGAAAAAACAACTCATGGAAAGGAGACGATGGGGATAATATTTTCAATATATTTCCATCTCTCCCACACTTTGAAAAATTATTTCCGCCTCTACTACTTGTGCAGAAGTAGCCACCCAAACATTTAAATCAAGGCATGAGCAAAAAGGTAATGCAATGAAAGAATTACTGCACGATTAAAGATTCCAAAAAGTGGAGAATTTCGATTTAGTTCTAGCAGCTTAACGTTAAGGATAGTGTTACTTCCCCGGTTAATACCGCACTAGATATTGAATTATATCTGACAGAAGGTGAGGTATTCTGCATAAATGTCTGTCGAATATCATTCATTATTCAGCGTGGTATTAGCCGGGGAGGTAGTTGTTTTCCGGCAGGCATTTACCAGAACTTTCGGTGTAGATACTTTGGTGGGATGATTGTTTTGAGATTTTATTTTAAAATATTTATTTTCTTATATGTATGTATGTCTCCTCGATGCAGTATTCAAACTTATTTTGATTTCTGTCAGAGAATTGATACATGTGATGTTTTTTTCCCGCTTGTAACTTTGTTAACAAGATGCAGCTGTTACTAGTTTTCAATATTTGTCTTAGACGAAGATTTCATAAATGCTGTTAAGCTACATTGAAATTAATAGAGTTCCAAGCACACTGGATTTGATTCTCACAGTTTTTTTATCGTGGTGTAACTCTAGTCAATAATTAATAATGAAACTACTGAACCGACTTTGAATCTGATCAGAAAGGTAATGCTGATAGGTGTAAATTGAATAATCATAGAGGAATGTTATAAATTGTTTTCTGAAATTCTATAGCTACCTACTTGGTTTGGTATTCATGCATTAGCTAAATAGTTTTTATAAAGCAAGATTTATTATTTATATACTTCAATGAAAGCAAAAAAAATGGTAATATCAAGCTTTACGTAAAATTTCAGTTAAACTTACCAAATTATTAAAAACCCTAACATCAGGTTCACTCTGAGCCAGATTTCGGTCAATTTGTTGATCGCATGGGCTCCACAAATCTTTTAAACTGCCATAAGCACTCTTATCAACAATTTCATAATTTTTCAAGTCTTCACAACTGTATGTTGGTTTCGACAGCCCAAATACTTTTGGGCTCAACTTATAGTTCATAATGTTCTCACTGTATTTGTCCAAATTGTCCATACTACTCATTTTCAATTGTTTTTTGGATTTCCTACTTTCAAAGGGCACTTTGAATATGTTGAGCAAGTTGAAAAACTCGCTACTTTTGGAACTTTGAGAGGAAATGTTGTCTATAGAACCACTTTTTAAGTCAATATCATTCTGTAAAGAATGTAAAGATATGCACTCATAGGATTTTTTACTAGGGCTTGAGTCTGGAACATCAACAGGTCGTTCTGTGTACCCATGCCCATTTATTTCACCATCACCTTGCTTCTCAATGTTGAAAGTCTGGTTTGGCAGTACATTTAAAGCAGGCATCACCCGACATGTCAGCCTCTTTGAATTATCATTTCGGCTCAGCAACCTATCACTTTTTGAATCGACTATCCCTGTAGAATTTTCAACACTTTCACAAGCTCTTATATTGCTGAGGTTGTTAGAATACTTATCTACACTCTTATCAGTGGTAGCCATTTTATTTAAAGCAAGACTGTTCTGACGAATGGAAAACAGTTGGTCGTTACTTGAAGGTCGATCTAAACTATTGAGAGGCACACTAGAAGCATCTATCCCAGTCGGTCTGTTATTTACGCCTGAAAAAGGTAAAGGTCGCTGAGTTGGAAACTCTACTACTAATATTCGATCGCTGATATTTCCGCAATCATCTCTGAAGCCAATGCCAGAATCAGAGTTACTTGAGGCGCTTGGCTGAGGGGAATTTGCCATAACAGGACCGTGGTTTTCAATAACCTTGTCATTATTTTGTAGTTGGTACATGTTTTGTATAAGGCTGACAATGTAGAGAGAGCTGCAAGGAAACTCCAGGCAGTATCCCGTAACATCATTAGGCGTACAGTTGATTCTGAAAGTCTCAGCCTTCTTCTGGTGTAGATTATGATCAACGATCTTCGGATCCGTCACGAAAACATGGCAGCTATTTGAAATAGCAATCGAATTATCAAGATTGTTTGGTTTTGTGTGCCATGAACTATTACTGCACTGTTTACCTAAAGCCTCAGTACTCCTCATGTCACAAACAGCGCTGGTTACCAACCCGAAATATCTAGATTCACGGTCTGCAGTTGAGCCAACGTAAACAACACGGTTAGTAGGGTATAATGCAAGAATGTGATTAGCAGCATTTTTCAATGTAAGGCAAGTTGGCAATATAGTCATTAAAACTGCGGTGGGAGTTCTTTTTTCTTGCCGTAACTTCTTTATGCAGCTGCAAACCGTCTGTAGCCTGGAATTGGGCAACAGCTGTTTGGGCATTTCGATTGTTCCTAAGTATCCAACCAAAGCTTTGTATTCTACCGGCCCAGCCTCTTCCTCAACAGGGTTCGTGGAAGAGTTATTCAAATAAACACAATGGCTCCCGTTGAGTCGTGAGTCTTTGGTGACTTGTTTCAGGATGGATTCTTGCATGTTTACCAAACTGTTGTCATTCACGTCCATTTCAGCTCTGCCATGGTCCTGTTTGTGAAGTCTTGGTCTAGGTTTGTGAGTATGTTTGGGTTTTCGAACATTAGCCATTCGACCACACTCTTCGTCACTACTATCTGAGTAGTAATTCTCAGCTATGGTCATTTTTATAGGCCCGATACAGTTCCCAATAAGGCTAACGACCGCGTCGTGTGCCATCTTCGAAACAGACAATCCATTCACTGAAATAAGGAAGTCTCCAGCGCGTATACCAGACTGGTCTGCTGGGGAATTACTGACAATACATTTTATAATGCATGGGTGCTGTCCGGATATCGTGAATCCAAATCCATTAGGCCCCCTCATCACTTCCACTGTCCTTATTCCATAGCTGGTACGCTTCTTTCTCCGCCTACTCGGGTGCATTTTATTAAGATCTAGGTTAAAATCGCGGAATAAACAATGCAATCAGGGTTGTCACGAACAAAACACAATTTCCGTTAAACGGATAAAAATATCAATAACCACAAAAAGATCTGTTTACACTTAAATTTCTCATTTTACACGTCATTTCGATCGATCCCAAACACTTTTAAATAGCTGTTAGAGGTTGGGATCGTTGGAATGTTAGAATTTTAAAAGGAATTTTTATGATTCAAGGCGTTTTATGTTCACGTCATTCAGTTTCACAATCGCCAGTTCTATTTTATTTAGTGCGTTTTGTTGAGCTCTTGGATCCGTTTCAAATATCCGTTCAATATTTCCAAAGAATTCCAATTTTATTGTTATAGGTATCTACAACTTTCAAATGAATGAAACTAATTCTCAAAGGACGATACAATAATGAAAATGTTAAAATATAAACAAAAATTATAGTTGTGACAATTCTGACAACTGGCAGTGCTGTATTGAACTGTAGAGTTGGCAGCACAGGATAAGTTCAAATATAAGGTTAAGTCGCAGTAAAGGTCTTTAGCTTTTTACTGTGGTTAAGTATGAATGTTGAATGTTTTACATGTAACCAAAGCAAGAATGAATGAACTTCATAACTATTCCAAGGTTACAATAGTCACATTCAGAATCTTATATTCAGTAGTGAGGAAGATCATTAGTGTGAATAACATTTGTGATTTGGGAATAATTTGGGCTTTTTACTTCTCCATCTTTGAACAAAAAATGTGAGAATTTACCAAAGAAAAGAAGAAATGAATTAATTTCAAAGTCAACTTTTTACAAAGATGTATATATGTAGATCATACAAAGAATTGACTTTCAGAGACAAACTGGAAGAAAAAGTGTTTTCGAAACCACTACTCTCATATACCTGAATTTGAAATTACGCGAAAGAAAAAAAAAATGGAAACAACTACTTTTATATAAACATTGAATAAAATAAAGAACACTTTCTTCTACTGCACCAGGAATATTAGGGGTTTCACCTCGGAATTTGAGATAGTCAGCTATGAACTTATATACCTAAACCTTTATTTTTGACACCCTAAAACTTGTCTTATAACCTACTTATCATAGGGTGTCCGCCACTACAGATAGTCCAAGGTTAAAGGTGAACAAAAATCGATTTTTTCTCGTTTACTATGCTATTTGTATTCATTATAAATATTATAGAGAATTAAATTTTCTACTATTAAATATTTTTTTATATCTTGAACCATTTTCGAGATAGAGGGCAGAGCCCGCGCAGTGTTTAAATATATAGGTCAACCTGTAATCCAAGTTAAAAACGCCGTATGAAGTTTATAATTTCTTGATAAATATATAATTCTAAATAATTTGCATTTTTATAACTATTAGGTTATAAATATTTTTTTTCAATAATTCAGTATGTATTAAATTAATAACATTTACCTACTCGTGTAATTATAAAGTTATCGAGGGAAACATTTTAATTATTTTTTAATTCTAATCTTATTTATACCCATTAGTTCCCAACTGAATAAAAAGAAAAGAGTATAATGTTTTTATTGAAAAATACAATTTCATACATTTATGAACGATGAAATTTAAAACATTTGATAATGATAAGAACTACAAGTTGTAAATTCAATTTACTTCTATAAAATATATAATGAACACCCCACAGTTGAATCCACTTTTTTATCGTGTTCTTTAATTTCCAATGACCAGTTATCAGTATCCACTGTGTTATAATATTTCAAAATATAAATCAAATACTTATATAGAAATGTCAGTTTTAGTACTTCCGAAATGGTTAAAAAAAATTATTTTTTACTTTGATATCCACACGCGCCAAGCAAAAATGATGAGGACTTGAATTATCTGAGTAATCTGAATAATTTTGGATAATTGGAAATACTATAACAGAAGAATGTTTCTTTCCATTGGCAAACAAGAATATTCTGATAGCCAGCTTGAAATTTGTCAGCCTATCTTTCCCAGATAATAATTCAAAATCTTTATTTGTAATTTGTTTCATTTCACAATTGAAACTATTAGGGAAATATAGTAATTTCTTTCAATGTTTTCATAATATTCTGAAGCAGAGACTAGTCCATTTGGTGACATAGTCAGATCAACAGGTTATGTAATAAATCTAGGTGTGACTACTGCCCCTGAGAGAACCGGAAGCATGATAAAATGAAAAAATATTTTTTAATTAGGAAACATTTCCTCCAAAAACATTTTAATACAAAAAAATTGTTTACTTCTTTACATCTGTTCTACTTCAATACCCTTAAAAGTCCAAATTACCAAATCACATCAAAACTTGTCAGTTATTTCAAGAAGTCCTTGAATGTGATATTGATATTTATGATTTTTCAAAAAAAATCCGTAACTCTTTTATCGCAGGTTATTTTACCAAGAAAGCATGCCTCATTGAGATTGGAATTTCTACATGAATAAGTATAGGTATTTAAACTCAACCAAGCCATCATTATCTATTAACCCATCTGGAAATCCAGCAATGAACTGATATTCCGAATGAATTAGGTGTTAAACCAGAGAAATCACACTTGTTGCTGGTTAATGCTTCATATGAGGCATGAGAGTTTGCTGGCCAAACTTTGATGATATGACTTGTCGGATCATTTTTGTGTGGCTCTCCAGCTTACTGAAAGAACGTTCCTTGCAAGTGTCCGTCGGAGAATCCAATATATTGCTTTACTGGCGTTTCCTCATTTCATTTGTACTCCAGGACATCGGCTGCGGATGCACATCTTCACCGGCAGCAGGTTGTATATCTTAACGAGGATCTAGAAGTGATTTCGAATTGAGGTGAAAGTAATCAGGTTCAATGGGGAATGTTCCTCAATTTGGGTTATTACAGCAAATGCAAGTTTGAACAAAATGAAGTTGAGTTTAATTCATGAGTTTTTCAAATTCACTTCGAAAAGTATTCAAATTGATGTTTCAAATGTTGGGTTTTAATTTTTAAAGGAATTTTTTTCTAATTCACATATTGGCAACAGCAACAAGTTGAAATAATTTCTACGTACCTAGATATTCTACTTTAAAAAAGGAAAATTATTTTAATAAATCAACAATTGAGACGAAATATAAATTATAGTTCAATACCGCCTTCACAAGCCACATAAACAACAGTTGTTTTGTTATTTATTTATATAGAGGAAGATAGGTTAGGTGCACAAAATGTCATATGTCACAGAATGTCTCGGAACATAAGTAAACAGAACAGCACGCCTCTGAAATATGTCATCTTTGTTTGTCTCTTACAGGTAACAGATTCATTGTCCTTTATTAGCTATAACCGATGTTGCCAAATGGTGAAATAAAAACGAATCCCTTTAAATGTTGAATGCATTATTTCATTTCTCTTTTTTAAGTATTTAAATAATTTTTTAAAGAAAAAGGTTGAAATGATGAGTTTAAAATGCGTTGTTTTAGAACTCTTTTATGAAAACTACTTGATTTTCGTCAGGAGGAACATTCCCCATTCAATGCCACTAAAACCCAAGCCTCGATTTTCTCCAAAAAGATAAATGTGTTCGAACCGTATATAATAATGTCAGGGCACACAATTTCGCTTTCTGCTTCGATAAGTTTGTCACGAGTTAAAATGGACACCAATATGTCTTGGCACAATCATGTCGCTGGAATTCCAAAGGCTGCTTCTCAAAAGCTTGGAACACTGTTCCGAACCAGAAAACTGTACATACCTCAGCAACTTTTGATGCTTTATAAAGCTCAGATCAGACCTTTGGAGTATTGTTCTCATTTTCTCATTTTACACCCATATGGGGTGTAGGCGTATCTACGTGAATATATATAAATATACACAATTCACAAAAAAAATTATCATTCAAAGGTGTCTGAAGGTGTTCGATACATACTCATTGAAACCAACCATCTCATTGCACTCAATCAGCTTGGAATTCCAACTGTCTCCTTTTACAATAAATGCAACAATCTGGATTGAAATTTCTTGACTGTTGTGATTGAGAATTATCAAATGGCTGTTTGAGTGATGTTCTTAAAAAGTTATTTCGAAGCCCTTTTTTTGCCAAATTTTTTTGGGAAGCAAGTCCCTTATTAAGATATTCAATTTGAGTTCTGCAACATTTTGTTTTGGAAATACAAACATGATATTCTTTGAAAGTAAATAATACATCCTAAAAATTGAAGCTTAAGCCTACAATGAAGGTATTCTAGGCTTCACTCTATCACTTGAAACAACAGTATTAGGCTCAAGCTTCAATTTTTAGAATTAAGACGATTTTAAATCGCACAGATCTGAGGCAAAAATTTTTACAGGAACAGATCTGAAATTATGCAACCTAGGTGCATCCAACGTAAATAATACATATTTTCTAATTTTCCTGATAATTAGACTACATTTTTGCCTTCCTTAGCAAGAGTCCTTGTTACAATACCGAACTATCTTTCAACTGTAGCATTACTAAGCCTATCATTACTATTTAAAAGAATACCACTACAAAGAGGGGTAAACGAAATGTGGGCTGTGAAAAAATTATCAAAAAATTTGAAATTATTGTATTCATTCATATGTCATTTCATATGTATATACATTTTTTTATATCATTTCTCTACTTGAATTTATTGATGATTTTCTCTTTTTTATTTGCATTATCACTGTTGATGTGCAAACCAATTTGTGAAAATAAAGAAATTATTATTATTATTATAACTAACATTATTTAATTCATCATTGAGAGAAATTCTGTTAGAATCACGTCAAAAGGTAAGACCCTCAGAAGTCGCACAAGTTTCGACTTCTGAGGGTTGTTGTTCGTAGGGGTGCGACAGCTGGTTAACGGAAAAACAGATTTTTTTTTAAACAGAGAAATTCTGACTTCTAGTTGTTTTGACTATTGTTAAAAAATTTCATTACATAAAAGTTTTTAAACCAAGCACAAAATATTTCCCATTATTGATATTATATGCAGAGCTATGATTTTCTTTTAGATGTAGTAGCTCAGGTAGTACTGATTTTTTCTTTCGGATTTGTATTTCACACATCAAAATACGTGAGTACACATAATTTTTTTTCACAAAATCGGCAGGTACAGCCTATCTGAAATTTTACCGTGTAGAATTTTCAAATATCTGAGATGAATAATATCATTTTCATGAAACTTAAGATAGTATCAGAATTATACTAGATTTAATAAAATTTTAAAATATATTAAATTCAGCGGTCTCTTCATTAATATCTTTTTAAACTTCTATACCTATGTGTACATAAAATATATTTTTACAGGAATAAATAAATAACATCATTGTATTTCAATCACTAACATAAACGGATGAATTAATTGGGCGTAACAATTTGTAGTATGGACATACTTTCCTTCTGGCAACATCAAGCTCCAGATTCTCCTAAACTTTCCTCTACAAGATCTATTTTGGACAAAGTTTCTTTTTCATCTTGTGACAGCAAATCGTCCCTTTCGTCTTTACCTAAGAAAAGAGATATGATAAATATACTTGTGATAATGTAGAAGACATCACAGTAAAAGGACTGGTCATGAGGGGATGTCCACAGGGAGGGGTCTTATCACCCCTTCTCTGGAACATAGTTCTGGATACCCTAAAATGGATTCTACACAATTGCATACGCAGATGACATAGTTATCTTGCAGACCGGCAAATTTGTAAACACACTGTGCGATAGAGCGCAGGATGGGCTCAAATTGATAGAAACATGGTGTAAGGAACACTCACTGTCGATCAATCCCAAAAAGACTGAGATGGTCCTTTTCACCAGGAAAAGAAGTTTAACGGGCTTAAAACCTCCCGAAATCTTCAAAAGCCAACTAAACTTCTCTGAAGAGGTGAAATACCTTGGTACTATCCTCGACAAGAAGCTAACATGGAACTCTCATCTACAGAGTAGAGCAAAAAGAGCATACGTGGCTTATGAGCAATGTCGGAGGACAGTGGGACGCGCATGGGGTCTTTCACCCCGTGTAGTCGCCTGGATCTACACTGCAATAATAAGACCTATGTTAACGTATGGAGCCATTGCATGGGGACCGAAAGTTCCACAAGCAACGGCCATCCAAAAATTATATCAAATACAGCGACTGGCTTGTTTAAACATCACAGGAGCCATGAGAACAACACCAACCGCGGCAATGGAATTAATCACGGGTCTGACCCCTCTGGATCTGTACGTTAAGGAGGTTGCGTTAATGGCCATGGTACGATTGCACACGGCTGGTGAAAACCTAGAAGTAGGAATGGGTCGATTAAGGCTGGGCCTATGGCGGGAAGCGCTTACTGCGCAACCTCTGCTGCAGGCAACAAGTGATGCAATTGAATCCAGGTTTGTGTTTAATAAACCCTACAAAATACAAATTAAGCAGAACACAGAGTCAGATGCTACAAATGCAATACGGATTTATACAGATGGCTCAAAAACCAAAGAAGGCTCAGGATGTGGAGTGTACTCCAGATCACTAAGCCTAAGGATTAAGTGGGGAATGGGAAGAAATACCAGCCTGGTCCAAACAGAACTGGCTGGTATCTCAATCGCCACAAAAGAAATAACCAAGAAAAGAATTTCTGGCAAAAACATAACAATCTGCACTGATAGCAGACAAGCACTATTAGCCTTGAACAGACACCGTGTTACTTCAGGGCTACCACTAGAGTGTCACCAAGATTTAGCCAAAGCCTCGGTAGATAATAACATTATCCTGAGGTGGGTTAAAGGGCACGACAGGAGTAAAGGTAATCGCATTGCCGACTCTTTAGCCAAGGAAGCGGCTGGACTAAGAATTTTAGGATCAAGTGGCACCCACGGCCTGATGACTTCGACAATTGCGGAACTAGTCAAAAGTTACACCCATGCTCAATCTCTAAAGAGATGGGATGAAATCGAAGGATGTAATCTTGCCAGGATCACCTTGGGCGACCCTGGGAAGCTGGCGCCGACGAAATATCTGGCGATGACCAGGAAAAATCTACGCCTTACAGTAGGATTTCTGACTGGCCACTGTCAGCTAAGGAAACACCTACATAATATGGGGCTAGTGGACACACCTCTATGCAGGATGTGTGAACAGGAAGATGAGACTGTCAGGCATGTCCTGTGCGAGTGCCCGGAGTTATCGTCAATAAGAGAGTGTGTGTTCGGCGAGTCTTGGCCTACACCTGCCGATATAAAGGAGATGTCTCCCAGCGACCTGTCCACCTTCCTGGAAAGGACAGGATGGACGACGACCTAGGAGGACAACTCCTCGGGAGGATGTACAATGGGTCACATGTGGCCTAAGTGCGTGGGCTTACACTCACCCTCCCTACTCTACAGATACAGATACAGATATACTTGATGTCGAATTTGGAAGGCACAGTCTTGCCAACCTCCTTTTTTTTAAATAATTCAGATAGTTTTTAAAAAATTTACTCATTTCTTTCAAATAAATACTATATTTTCAAGTTTAGTTGGTACATTTTGATAACTTCAAAAAAATTTAAGATCGAAAAAATGTGACGTTTGTTGTTATAAAAAACAAACACACGTGTGGAGATGACGAAATACCAGTAACACTGATGAAAATATGTTTAGATGATATTCCCAAAATAATTTGCTATATAATGAATAACACATTCAAATATGGAATGTTTCCTCAACAATTAAAACTAGCTCTCATAACACCAATATACAAAAAAGGAGATTGTGAATTGTTGGAAAATAATAGGCCATTGTTTTCTAAACTTTTTGAAATGGCGATATGTGATAGATTAATTATCTTAATGAAACATTGTAAACTTTTAAACCCAACTCAACACGGATAAAGGAAGATTAATTGACACAGCAATTATACAGTTTACTGCAAACATTATCGAGTTATTTGAAAATGTGGAAATACTTCTTGGAATATGCTTAGACCTTTCTAAAGCATATGACTGCCTTATCACAAACTTGAAAAATATGGAATTAGAGGGCCTGTATTGAAATGGTTTGAGTCACATTTATCAAATCGCCAACAGAGAACGAAATTTATAAAAAATGGACAGATATTTAAGTCTGATATCAGGGAAAATACTATAGGCATTCCACAGGGAAGTGTGACAGGTTCTATTCTATTTGTAATTTTCATGAACGACATCTTAGATATTTGAAATAACGAGGGGGCTACTATCACTAATTATGCCGATGACACAAATTTACTGGTTCCTAGCTGCAACTATCGAAATTTAATCACTAAATCATCCCATTTAGTCGAAAAAACACAGCACTGGTTTTGTAAAAATGGCCTTATTCTTAACACCGATAAAAACAAGGTGATTCTATTTAGAACCCTTCAACAAAGAATTGAGTCACCAACAACTGTTCACTCAGCAAATAATCAAATGAAAGTAGAAACCTCAACAACATTATTAGGTAAACACATCAATGAGCATCTTCAGTGGCATACCCACATTATAAACTTAGGAAAAAAATTGAAACAAATCTGCTACAGTGTAAGGATTATTAGTAGGTACATATCTTAACAAAAAATCGATAAAAATCATATATGCAGCAAATTTTGAGTCTTCCTCAAAATTAGGTATATTATTCTTGGGATCTTGTAGTGGCATCTCGAATATATTTGGAATTCAAAAAAAGGATCAAATCATACCTACCCTTTGCGGAATGCAAATACATGTCTTCCTATTTGTGGACTAATACTTACAGAAAAGCATCCGTCATAGGCATCAATTAAGTTTTTCTATAAATTACCACAAAATATTAAATCCTGTGAGGGCCTTAACAATTTAATAAAATATGGGAAAGATTTCCTTATAGACTTGGAATCATATTCAATTCTGGAATATCTGGATTACTGTTAACTTCATTTTATATTAAGATGATTTTATTTATACTGCATACTGATGGTTTTTCTTTTTAATGTTTGTACAATCTGTCTGACGTTGTTGCATTTCATGTTTTTATGTTGCAGAACAATGTAAAGCATACCCTTTAATATATTATATCATTATTATTTTTTTTACCGAAGTATACGCTGGTTAGGCCCTATCTCCCATAGCCCCGATACATTCGAGAGGGCGCGCCAGCATTATGAACCAACGACCACTCCCCACACCGTGGGGTAAGTGATCATTGGGTCTGTGAATCATGTACCCTGAGCCGTTCAATCTTCCGAACCGCAAGGCGGGGATCTCATCCTTCCGATTCGGAAAGCGATTGGACGATACACGGTGGTGTTGATTTGCCAGATGTCAGCCTCTTCTGTTAGAACACTATGAACCTCCGCATCCAGACAAGCCAGTTTCTGTGGCTTCAAGGGCCTAATTCTGTGGAGCGCCCTGCGTGTTCTGATTGACTTCATTGGTGGCATGTGGCATGATGCGAGTCTCCTCTCCAGCCATGCCAACGGGTGGTAGAACTGTCACTTCAACTACTTCTTTAGCAGGCTGGGAAGGAACTATATAGCTCTGTCACCGAAGATAGGATACGAAATCTCTAAGATTTTGGGCGGAAAAGACGGCATGCTCCGGATGTGTTTTACACCACAGAGCATGCAATCTCGCCATGTACCCTCTTTGCACGGGGTCACTACTCTCGTAGCAATGCATAAGGCTATCTCTTAGCTCATGCGTCCACTTAAAGCGTCCGTTGTCATCGTTAAGGGCCTCACCACCTTGCCTCTGACCCCTCCGAGCGGGTAGATTGTGGGGGCTCCTTCCTCGATTACTAGGAACCAAGTGTTGGGTCCACCGGGTGGTTAGCCCAGTGGACCCACGGCGGCACCGGAGGGAGAATAGTGTTCTCCTTTCCGGGTGCGCCTGGGCTGCCGGTCCGGTTTTGAACCAGTTGCTCAGGTAAGTGGTGGCGCAACTCACTATGTAGACCCTCCAAACTCAAAAGTCCACGGCCTCCCTGTTGTCGGGGGAAGTACAACCGTGGAACGGACGATTTGGGATGCAAACTTCTATAAAAATGTATAATTTTTCGGGTCTTTACGTCGAGTTGATACAGCTCCTCCCGAATCCATTTCACTACTCCAAACGAGTAGAGTAAGATTGGAACGACAAGCATATTTGTTGCAGCAACTTTGTTCTTTCCCGACAGTTCCGATGATCAGATCTGTCGAAGTTTGTGCTGTACTTGCCGCGGAAAGATTTCTTCACTGCTATTACCTCTTTTGAGTGGCGTTGTTCCACCCCGAGGTAAGTATACGTCTCTCCGGCATCCAAATGGTGTAGAATGCTTCCATCTACGAGCTGCACATCCTCTCCGTAGTACTCGCATCGTCCTCTTTTGAGATGGACCATTGCACATTTGACTATCCTAAATGGACAGCGAGAAAGGCCCTATACCAAACAGTCCATTGTTTACTTTCTCACGTAAAAATTACAGATAGAAACCTGATAAATATCAGGTTGTCATTAACATATAACCGGGTAGAAAAAAACTAAGAACTCATTGGGTTACCTTCATTCGATGA